GCAGCCCTCAACGCTTATGGCGGAAGTTACGTGCGGACGTCGCTATAATTTTACCGATAATGTCGACATCGGCCTACCTGTGTTTACAAACATGGAATGGATCTATACGGAGTGAACAAGGAACTAAAGCCAGCAGTCAGTTTCTTTACTAGCAGACGCTGCCTGCGTCAGCATCGCGAGGCGAGAGAGGGGGAGGATGATGACAGCTTTACGGGTGTCTTCCTGGGCCAGCGCGACACGCGTGACGTGAGCATGCGCAAAGGGGGTTTACGGAGGGACAGTGTTGTACAGGCTTATCAAAGAGCTGGTTCGCATCTAAAACTGCCGCTACTACAACTACATTGACAACGACAACAACTACAACCAAGGCGACAGCGGGGGCGTTACCGTATATACTAACCGAGCTTCGCTGCATAAAGATAGTGAAGTCTGCTATTTTTTCACAATTTTATTGATATGAATACAAGAATGGTACATGTGTTTAGTGTAGAAAAAGAGTTCTCAAAGCCAAACACTGTATGCGGACAGGTATATATATATATATATATATATATATATATATATATATATATATATATATATATATATATATATATATATATATATATATATATATATATATATATACACTAAATAAAAACTACTAAATTATTTAGACTCTGATGCATCATTAAGCCAGTAGCAAGCGCTTGCACAGAGACTGTGCTGCAATTTCGGCCAGGAGAAATTTTCACTTTGAGCCGTTAGTAAATGCTTTACACACAGTAACTATTCCAATTTCTAATTACCTTGAAATTAAGCATTAGTTTTGTGTAGGTTCACAAGTTAGTGTGTGCGTAGGTACATATAGAAATACAAAACGAGAAAAAAAATCTCCGTTGGTGTTCCAGACCACCACAACCACCCTATGGGCTACTGCACTGAACCAATTACACTGGCGAAACAGCGATGCTCAGAAAAGGCCAGACAAAACTGGGCCTTTATAGCAAAGTGTCCTGCAACAGTCTGACGTCACACCCGATGTTAGCACTCACACCACGGCCTCCAGAGCGGTTGAGGCCGAAGTAGGCTCCCGCACTGGCATAGTGCAAGTGAGCCCTCGATTGCATCTGTGGCAGCTTACTTCGTTCACGAATTGGCAAGGATAAAGGACCATACGCTGTCGTATAGAAAAGAGCAAATGGTACATAGCGAAGAAAAGAGCAAATGGTATATAGCGAAGAAAAGAGCAATTGGTACATAGCGAAGAAAAGAGCAAATGGCACATAGCGAAGAAAAGAGCAAATGGTCCATAGCGAAGGAAAGAGCAAATGGTACATAGCCAGTGTGCTACCAGAGGGCAAGTAGCCTGGAAAACACCAAAGTCGCCTCACGGGCATACGTTAAAGCACTGACTTCTGCTTAAGTACACAGTGGTTGTGCAAACGAACGCTGTTGTAGACGACACCGAGACAGCAGGAGTCCAGGGAACTAAAGCGAGTAGGCCAATAGGAGACACAATATTGAGGGCGACGTCCATCGTCTCGAATGAAGGCTACGTAAAACAGGATGCTGTTGCAGACGAAAAAAAAAAGATCTAGTAATATACGTCTAGTGATTGCTCTAGGCTAGCACACACCATGCTGGCGTGCTAGCAATCGCATGCCTGTTCTCTTGCGGGGCCTGCCTAAACGTTTGCGTGCCTTGACGTTTGGTATGGTGAAAACTTGGTGAGCGTTTGGTAGGTGCAAACTTGGTGCGCACGTCTAGACAGCCACATATAGAAACTGCGCAATTGTCACAGTGACATGTTTTTTGTTTGCACATTGTCATGGTATTACGTGCTGACACGGCGAACTAACCTCCACAGCACCGTTTATAGATGTATATCTCCAAAGTCAGAGATAAAGTACGGAAAACTAATTAGGGCAAAAGCCTTACTGTTATTCAAGTGTTGACTGTGTTACCTGAGTGTAAACTTATGTGTACGTAGCTTTTATGATTTGTAGTTATTTTGCGATTTACTAGATAAACTGTTTACTGGTTTGATGGCAACGCAAAAATCGCCCGTTGGCGTTTAACGGCACTAGCGTCAACAGGAGTAATGCAAGAGTCATCATCATGATCGCGTGATGAGTGAGTGCATGAATGAATGAGTGAGTAAAACTTTAATATGATCTGGTGCAGACGCTGTGGTTGCCCCGTGCCACCCGGCTACTCCCTACGTGGGGACCAGCAGGTCTAGCCTATCGGCCCTCTTGCACCACCACATGAAGACTCCACACATCGCCAAACCAGACACGCCATTATGACATCACCATAATATCACTAGCAAAATCTCGTAATGTGACGTCACCTGATCATGTGATTACATGATATTGTCTCCTAGTCAGATCGATGAGTGAGACAGTGGTTTGCATGCCTCAATCCTGGAGCTTTCGTAGGCCCATATCTATACTGGGCACAGTATAATACCTGCCGTCACACGGCGAATGTAATGTCATTTACAGCGAATTACATTCGTTTGTAATGTCATTTGTTTGTTGTTACACGTGGAAACTAATGTCATTTGATGAAAATGATAATATCTGTCGGATGAGTTCCCTAAACACATTCGCATTTCATTTGGAGTGAATGAATAATTTCGATGCTAGGGACTTTTAGGGAGATGATTGTTAACTTATGTATAAGTACTTTTTATCGTTTGTAGATATCTTGTCCTTTACTAGATCGACTGATTACTGGTTTGATGACATATGCACGTACGAAAGTTTCTACAAGAAGCTACTGTCAACTACAGCGGTGGGGCGTCGGCCATGTTTCAATTTGGTCTGTTGTCGTTGCTTGTAACACCGAACTTTATCGTCCAATTGCACGTGTTGTTGTGACCAAGGTGGTGCCTACGTAAAATCGCTGCCGCCGTCTTGAATTTGCAGCTGAGAAGTCAGTAGTGCACCCCCTTCAGTTTACTGTACTCACGCCCTGTCATATCGTCAGCCATGTTGGTTTTCGAGTGTGTAGTGCGGTTGTGTAAAACGGCCGCATTTATATTCAAGGAGCACCTTTTTTTACTCACAAATAATATTTTTGTGGATACACGCATGTTACGTGCAAGCCTTAGCACATTTTTGTTTCTCCCTATATGCAGGGCTCAGGAGGGCTAAGGTCATGATCATCATTTCAAAATGGCACTTGTTTTCGTTGTGCAACAGCATGCACGTAAAAGAACGTTAGGTCCACTTAATGCAATTCGTTGTAAATAAAAGTAGACTTGCCGTGTCACAGGAGGATAATTAGCCTCCCTACCTTCCCTGTATTCGTTCTCTTCTTCTTAGGGGAAAAGAACACGAATACATCGAACGGAAAGAAACAGAAGAATGCTTTAACCTTCGGCCCGTCGTAGGCGAATTCATTAGGGACCCCTGTTGTTTTTCTTTGTAGTAGCTGATGTACAGTATTTTAGGCATTTTACGGTATCTTAGTTGACACAGTAACCGAATATAATTGGCTGAGATTCCAAATGAAAAAAAAAAATAGGACATCCTCGTTCTTGAGGTGCCATGCCTGAGGGAGGGAAAAACTTGGCAGCCTTTATTTTTCTATGGTTTCCTCTTCCTTTTCTCGTCCGCTTTTTTTTCTTCTTCTTATTTTACGTTTTCTTTGCTTTTTATTTATTTATACTTTTTGTGTGCGTTCCTTCATACTTTTCTTTTTCTCTCTCTTTCCCTGTCTCAGCGCTTTCTTTTTTTTTATACAGGACTCTGGCTACGTTACGTCAAGTGACGTATACACATGACAGCCTTGGCTCTTAAAGTTCTTCACACTTAAAAAAATTCCGCTTTGCTGTCGAATACGGGAAAAGAATGTTAGTTTTTGTTTCGTTTACGGGTTTGGGTTTATTTAAATAGCATAGAAATGTCAATATTCGATTGGGCTTGAATATGTGTGGTATTCTGAGGAAAACAAGGGCTTGTTTTAGTGTATTCCGTATCGCACTTTCATTTGATGAAAGAAGGACAATACTTTGCCCTTTTATTGAATGAATATTCTGCAGTTCGGCGCTAACTGCTTCAACAGATACGGATATTCTAAGATTATTGCGATTACTTGTTCCTTATCATTTGCGAAGCCTGCGATTAATTTGGGCACCGGGACAGAAAGAAATTGTACTCATTGAAGTTGCGGACTCTCCGGTGAAAGCTTCTCTCCTTCCTTTTGCGGTGTTTGTTGCTGTAGCAAGGTTCATAAAGTATGAACCAGCTCTGTTTACTCCAAGTCTCAATTCATCACCGGACTTTTTGCACCTACAGCTCCCTTGGAGCAGGAAATGGTGTGCAGCAAGACGAGCTGAAGTTGCAATAAACAACTGTATCAGGCCAGTTAGTAAGGATCCATCTTGCTAGGAAGCGCAGCCACTATTACAAAGAACACACAACACAAGCACTTAACTTCAACTAAACGTTTATTGCAAACGTCAGAGTTTATAAAGGGGGTGAAAAGAGAAAAAGGATAAAAATTGGTAGACAACAACAACAACAACAACAACAAAAAAACACACGTGCCAGTCCCGTACATTACTATCCGTTATTGTCTGTCACCCCATCCAAAAAAACATAGTTCTTTCCGCGTGAGCGAGATAGAGGGTGCACTAACACAATCAAAATCATCGCGTGTCATTTCAGCCGCTTCTACTATCAAACGGGTTAACAAATCTCTGTCCCAACACAGCACACACGTGTTATTGAAATAAGGCACACAACCACACTTCTTACAGTGGATCGCCAAGTGACCATCGGTAACCTTCTGCACTTTATTGTGGTGCTCTTCTAGCCATTCATTAATGCACTTTTCATTTGTTCCCACATAAACAAGGCCACATGACAAGGGCACTCTGTAAACAACCGACTGCGCACACTCAACATATTTATTGCGATGCTTAATTTGGCAACCTTTCTTTTTTTTTAAAACAGGACAAGTTTGGTGACATATTCTGGACAGTTTTTCAGGAGCAGACATAACCACTCGGACGCCCACTTTATTACCAATCTTTTTAAGATTGTGTGCCACACTATGGATATAGGGGACAACAGCCGTTTTATGCTGCTGCAGGTAAGTGTAAATGCGCTGCCTATTTTTGTTTCTTTAGGTCCCTATGTAGCGATTCAGCGACGCTTATAACCATTAGTTGCGGGTAGCCTGCTGCCTTCAGTCGCAAAACCTGTTGCTCAAAGCTCTTCTTCATGAGGTGAAAACAGGACTTCTTCAACGAATTAAAAAGGCACATTCGTGCAACAGACCTCTTCACTACTTTTGTATGGGTAGAAGAAAAAGGCAACAATGGATTTTTGCTCCTGCGCTCATAAACCAAAAAACGTGGTCATCTTGAAATTGCAACGACAAATCTAGGAACCTCAGCGTATCACCATAGGGCACTTCATGTGTTAATTTCAGAGGTTGACAATTTGTCTCAAGTACTCCAAGAGTCAAAACAGCAACACCTTGAAACTCTTTGGCATCACACTTCAAAAAAACCAAATAATCATCCACAAACCTGAAGATCTTTAAAACCTTAGTTCCCGACAACCTCTCATCAATTAATCGATCTAAGTGGGCCATAAAAATATCACTAAGGACGGGTGCAATAGCCGAACCAATACAAATACCCTGTTTTTGGATATAGGTGTTCCCATTTCAATTAACAAATGTTGACGTTAAGTACAAAGCCAGTAAATCCACAATACCTCTCTGACGTTTGCAATAAACGTTTAGTTGAAGTTAAGCGCTTGTCTTGTGTGTTCTTTGTAATAGTGACTGCGCTTCCTAGCAAGATGATGTTGCAATAACCAGAATGCGTTGTAGAGTTTCAAGTCTAAATTTATACATGCACAGAGTGGGTTTGCTGGTCTCCCCTTATTGCTCATATTGCAACGAACTCAAAACTATCGAACACTTCTTGTTGAGCTGCCAACGTTTTTCCTTAAACGGAAAACGTATCAAAATTATATTGCGGCAATGTGGTCTACTGGTTACTTCGGCCATTCTGCTATCATTTGGGGCCTTTGCGCTGGGGCACTCGGACTGGAATATTTTCAAATCTGTCTAATAGTTTATATGCGACTAGAATAGATTTGGTAGGTGTATCAGCTACTAACAACTCTTTATTCAGCCTTCCTAGTCAAAATATCTTCAGTCTCTGGGATATTACACATAATAGTGAGACTTAAAAGTACAATTATTCATAAATAACGTTACGTTAAAGATCATCTCAAAATTACTTTGGCTCTTACTAAACATTAATCACAAATTTAGTATGTATGATCCAACCGACTCATAGCCGATCACCCAGAGTGCGTAGGTGCCAATGATCTTAGGAGCATCATTATCATCATCAGCAGCAGCAGCAGTTCTGAAGCTGTTATCTCTGTTGTACAACGCACCAGTTCTATGAAACAGAGGAAAGCAACATATGCACCCAAGTCAGGCTTAGCGGTTTCCGATAGGAGTCACTGACTTATCAGGCGTGGCGATAAAACGAAAATGACAAAAAATGTGTAGCACTGAGCACCCGTCCTCATGTGATGTATTTTTGCCGGGGTTTAAATTACGACTGCTTGTTATATAGAAAAAATACAAACATAACTTTTAAAAACAACCATAAGAATGAGCAAAATACTTAAGCAATAGGCCACGATGAGACGTAATTTTGACGTCATTTTTACTAGTGAAAACGTTTCTCAGAAAAATTTGTAGTTGCCCCTGTGTGGTGTCGATTGACCTGCTCAGTTACGCTTCACGAAAGTCGTAGTCTTACAGCAGGATATATTCTTTTCTGCCATTCTTAGTTACTTTATTATTCCTTCCTCCAGGATCTACTTTTAGGCTGCAACACCGCAATGCTTTGGAGAAGCCTGGCGTATCCTTACGTACAACAGGTCCTGCTTATGACTGTTTATTGCGGCAGTTCAGTTCCCGAAAGTTATGGGACTAAATTACTTCATTAAACGAGGCTGCTTCGGAGGTGTCCAGTGCAATAAAGTAGGACAAAAAGAACCTTTAGAGTTGGAGTTAATGAAAAATAGCGAGGATGACAAGAAATATCTGAGAAACTTCTTGACTTTGACTGATAATTAGCAAACATCCTATTACCGAGATCCCCGGATGTCTACCTGACCAACTGAGCACTTCCCCAAACCTCTATTACGCGTGAGAGCGGGTTTTATCGCTAAAAGTAATCTGACAACCCGATAAGTGTTTGCCTTTTCATGGGCTTTTAGTTTTGTCCACGTTCAGGAGGCAGCAGTTGCTATACTTCGCGACATTACTCATGCACATCGTTGACGCTAGGTGGGGCTGCTCTTTCTGACAGATTTAGCTGACTGCGGCTGGATAATTTGATTACTATGCTGACGACATAATACGCAATAAAGGAAACTGTCCAAAGTGAGGAACATGCCACTACACAAAATGGGTGGAAGCTCGACCTCTCCCATTCACCTCAAACGCCGCTACGGGGCGCTACGAAAGCTGATAGGTTCCGCGGTTTTATAGAAGTTCACCTGGTAAAGCGTACCATTATATCGTTCATTTCGTAGTATGGCAAACATAGTTTTTTGAGCGAGCGAGCTCATTCAATAGCTTTTTTTTTCTAGCGTGTGCGGTTCACGTAGTAACAGTTTAATACTGTGTACTAGCTCACCCGCAAGTTTTTTTAAATGCGGAGCATTTACAGTCGCACCTACTCGCAAATCTGGCGTCGGCCGTGTCATCTACAACCCCACTGCTCGCGTCTCGTGCCACATGCTCGCGTCTCATGTCAGCTGTGGTTAACCCCCCCCCCCCCTCCCCTTTTGTTGCAAGGAATCGAAGCACATTAATGTGCTCTTTTTTAAGGTTACTTCTTGTATCAATAATTCCTTGAGCACTGCATTAGCCTGGCCTTTTGTTGAGTGATTGACACCAGAAGAACATCAAGTTAAGATGAAAGACGGGACCAACAAATTAATCTTGTCGAACAAAACCTTGGACTCCCCGAAATGGCTGTTGCGTTTAGTGGGCTTTGATGCGTGGCGTTGTCGAAAAGAACAAAATAAAACAGAAAGCGGGTCGTTGCAATCGCACGAGGAGTGTGCAATAGATGTGGCGTGTGAATAAAAATCTAGCTGAGAAAACACAAAATACCCTGAAACGTGATGAATAATACTCTTGCAGCTGTGTCAATCGAATGGCCGTGTCAGAGAGGATAATGCAAAGTAATAACCCTTCTGTTCGATAAAAAAAGTTTCGCGCAAGCTGATTTGTCTAAGCCTGTTCTGTTTCCAGTGATGGATTGATACCAAGTGAGTTACGCTCACAAGTCCGAGAACATGGTTGCCGGTGCAAAATGAAGTGATAGAGTGTGTGATCAGCAGTTTTGTGCGCCACGACGGGACTTGAAAGTTCGTCTTAGAGATGTGCAAAGCGGCTCACTTCAGTGAGCGGCTCCGAACGGCTTAGCTGACTAAAGTGAAGCGGCTCAGTTGAATGGCTCACCGGTTTACCAGGGTTCGGTTACTCTGTGAACTTCCCATAAGATTCCTTAATTGATCACGTCAGTGCTGGCAGCGCAATATAACCCTTCATTTAAGACGCTGTCGAGGAGGATACAGAGTTGCAAAGTGCATTAATGGCGGTGCATTGGATGTGCATCATCACGGCAAAACTAGTACCAGCCATGCCTCATCCCCTGCTTAATCTCGTCAAGGCTACAAAACAAACATGCACCACGGATCACCACAAGTGTTGCGTTCACGACCGAGGTTTGAATAGGAAGTCTGCAATGTTAATAAAATCGAAACAAGGGACCCCACAGGAAATGATCGGAAACAGAATCGATTGCAACAGCGACAGTGTATGCACATATAGGTGCATACACTGTATGCACTTTTAGGTGTACACACAATCGGAGCTAGTGCGTATACGTGCTAGCTCTGACCTGAGCTTCTCCGCATACGAGGACATACGTCATATCATTTGTCATGTCATTACTACACTCCGTGTGGTCATTTATGCGAAGGCTACATGTCGGCGTTTCTTGTTTTGCGTTGTGCCCATACCTAATTTATGCATGGCTACTTTTATGTCCCTTGAGGGGGGGTATACTACAAATGGCAACACAACGTATAGTGTTGATGTACATGACAGCTTGGTACATCAACACTACATGGTAATATGTTATTATGCACACATAAAGAATTGTACTGTACTGTATGCCCCCTCCCTTTGGGCCTTTTCCGGGGCCTGTGAGATATTAATAAATAATAAAAATATGCAATTTCAACTGAAATGAGAATCAAAAATTGCTAGCAACTATTTATCTCGAATCAAATCGGCAAGGTAAAATTACAATAAATATTTGTCTACACCCGCTAAAAAGAGATCAGCTGTCACACTTTTTGTTGATTCATAAGTGCCACATAGAACTTCTTCTGATACACACCAATTATGTTTTGGATATTTTTAGTGGCACAATATAAAATGATCACACAAGTAAGACACCGACAACTACTTACCTATAACTGTGGTTCAAAAAATCACATAGACCATAACAAACACGCAGCACAAACATTATAAACTTGAATTGCACAGTGACACTCCAATATGACGCCTCGGAAATGCAAGGATGAATGTGCCTCTTTATATGAAGTTCTAAAGTGAGTAGTGGCACATACATCACGTAAATAATTATATTATTGTGTAGCTTCCTGCACATGGCTCCGTTTTCTTCCATATGCGACCAGCATAGCCAGATATGGCTGCATTTTTCCTCTATGTATGGATTAACCGTGCAATATACGGCCATAATTATGTGCATATATGGGAAGTGGTGGCTATATCATGAACATTATATTACCATGTATGGCGACGTATAACTTATACATGAGTGCCATATATGGCAAATTATTAAGGTTCTGTTCGGTGAGTCGCAGGACGCACGAGGCGTCAATAGAGAGTCAAGACGTACCTTTATATTTTTTTTAGTTGCGGTAAGTAAGTAAGGAGGGAAGGAAAGAACAAAAGACACGAGAAAGAATAGCAGCTAATCGCTTTTTAATACGGTGCATACGTTCGAAACGAACATACACTACAGTGGGCATTGTAGGCATTGCTTGCCCTTTGAAAACGAAGGAGGAGTGGGGCTGTGTAGCCATGGGGTTCAAAAGCCATCGTGTAAACCTAAACGGTGCTACGACGCACTTTGAGTGTACAGTTTACGTTCAAAACATGAGATCGCATATCTGCGTTCGTCCTGTCTGCTTCTACCGTGCTTTCTTGTCGCGAACGCAGTTTAAGTTTACATATTATGCTTTACCTACTAACTAGCACCCCAACACGCGCTTCTCGAGTTCAAAAGTGAGCTTCGCATCCACATTTGCGATGAAGGCGGAAGTGCTTGAGGCTCGTGTATTTAGATTTAGGTGCACGTTAAAAGGACAAACGAATTTTTCGCGGATTAGGAAAGTACAGTTTTAAAATCCTGGATACTACATTCTTACCTCGACATGGCGCACAGTAAGCGAGAAAAGGTGCGAAATTAAATTGCGGGTGGTGACGCCACTTTCAAGTTCCCGCACCATACCATACACCATGACGTAAGACATTTAGAAAGGCCTCCACTTGCTCTGATCTAGCTTCAAATGAATAATATATGAGGTACATCATAATTTGTGAGTGCCTAAGACTTAACATGTCAAGTTTCAGAAAATTTCATCAGGCCCTTGCTACAAAAATACTGAAATACAATTTGGAATTTCTGACAGAAGGGAGATTTTCGACAGGAGCAACATCGATGACGCAATTAATTCTGCCAGAGAAAATGGTAGTGCCAAAAATGATGTAAACAAGAACAAGCGCTTTTGAGTGCTCCATTATCAGTCGTTCATGGCTGCCCTTCACTTCATGTCGAAGAATGTAGGCGCGTAACTTGGTATTTCAATTAGAATGAACCAATAACGTATAGTACTTATAATAAACTTTGTAATATGACGCTTGCACTTACGAGCGTTTATGTTTCTCACAGTATTGCATTCCCCATTTCATTCTTCCTCTTAGCGCAGTTTTCACGCTAAAGCAGAGCTCTTCCGCCCCTGAAGGGGCACTCATGGGCGTGCCCCTCATATTGAGCTACCGCTATCGCGGTTTTGTCAAGCGGCTGGTGGCAAGAGAGAGCTTTATGCATGAAAATTGACGGCGCGTTTTGCTCTGGAGTTGCTTATTCGTGATTACATTGCGTAAAACTATATTGAACAACTTTCAACACGTTCTTATCTCTTGACTAACGGTGAGATTAGAAGGCTTTTTGGTCACATGTGACGCGCTAAAACTTGTTAGAAACAAAAATATTGCAAGTTTGTTTTTTACAGAGGGCAGTAGACGTCAGTTTTTGCTTCAAGCATAAAATTAAAAAAAAACGACTAAAAATGGCCTGTTTCAAGAAAAACATGTTAAAATTTTCGTTTTTGATAAATTACTTACGCTTAACCACAATTATGCTGTAAAACAGAGTGCAACGAAACCACAAAATCTAATTGAAAATAAAGCGCTAGTAAAAAAGTTAATATGTATCGCCCTTCAGTATTTGCAGTTTAAGTTGTCTGTAACGAAAATTCCTGAATTATCCTGAATCACGCTCATTTTGTGCACTTTTCCATGTTGGTGATTTTTACCTCTCAAGTTTTGAAGCAACCAAAACAAATAAATGTCTCAAAACACCGTTTATCAGATTTAGGGGAAATAAATCGACAAGTGCACCGCTTCTTACTTACGTGAGCTCAAATTTCGAAAATGGCGGAATTTTCAGAAAAACGTTTTTCGTCGCAAAAATTTGTTTTAATCAGGCAATTTTTTTTTCACAAAAGAAACTTTAAAATAACTGTTCTTGCACTGATACCCACTTTTACAGCAAATTCGATCGAAATCGGGAATGGTGACTTGAACCTCAATATCTTATCTGGACACATCCTGTAATAACGTAGGTTGCCGTGCGTGGGTATACATATGCGACCCTGCAA